ATAAACAAATACCTGTTGCCGTTTTAGCAATAGGTAGCCTTTTTGTTGAACCCAGTCGTTCTAGCATTGGTGAAGACCCTCACCTGCATTGCTCAAGATTGGTGAAGGATCCTTCACCAATCTAAAACTTTGGTGAAAGGTATCCTTCACCAAAGAGATACGTTGCTACACCTATGCATCTTGGCGTCGGAAATGATCCAAAATTATACCTCAACTCTCAAGCACTTCAAATCGTGACTTCATACATTCTTGGCAAGGTCTAATGCCTCACTTTTGCATTGTTCACCTTGCGTGACGTCATTTATGATGTCACTAGGGTGATAGGAGTGCTTCGTCAACAACTCCCGATCAAAATGAGCTAGCCAGTCGGGACAGCCATCAATGGACTTTGCAAGACTTGCCGAATCAAATGTTATGCAACATGTCCTCCTTTCAACAGATTCGTGACCTGTGTTGCCCTAACATGACATTGACCTCAGGTAAACATCCTAAATTGCTTCACCTAAACAAAAAAGCATGTAAATCGACGCGTCTGAGAACAGAAAACACGATTGTATCGATTAGACGATAATGCGACAATTTTTGTGGTTATTTACCAAAAAACCGATCGAATGCCTTGGGGGCCCTTGACCTGCCCTAAGAGGTCACTGATATTTTAAAATGGGGTACCAGTCGCTGCGTCACGTAACGAAGCAAACGCTCGTTTTTTTTTCCGCGAGGCTCTAGCAGCTAGCTCTATTATAGGAGCTAAACATGGGGTTGGGGGATCGCTCCCTTCTCACTCACTATTTGGCCGGGAAAGTGTTTGCAATTATTGTTAAAATCTGACATTTTAAGATTTCAAATGACCCATTTTTCCCGCCCAAGTCTTTCAATTCAAGGTCATAAGTAGGTCACGTCAAGTGACCTTACCTCAAGGAAAGTTCCTGTGCTCATCAATCTAAATACACCGACTAACCGATCGCTTTAGAACTTTCAGCGATTTCAATGGGCAACACTATACCTATGTATTTGAAACGTTTACTTTGCAAGTTTGACATTGTTGACAGAAAGGCCGGGTCAATTTGGAGATCGTTCAAGTCAATGGGAGAAAATTGAACTGCGCTTTTTGGGACGGAACGCATAATAAACACTCTGAAAACATGTGGTGTTTGATGAGATACAACACTAAATGAGAAAATTGTTTGTTTTGTTGGGAGCCATGTTTTTCGGTCTGAAAAGGCCCTTGCAGAGCTATGACATAACTATGCTCTGGTGTAGTAATTAGGTTGTGCGAGCCAGCGACAGTGATCTGCGGAAGCGAGACTGTTCCCGTGCCCTGTCGGGACGGTCCAGCCGTCTCCCAAACCGTCACCAAGAAGAGGATTATTTGTCCTGGAAATTCAGACATGTGCATGGATCCGAGAAAATGGATCTGAGATCTGATCCCACGGATCCTGATCTCGGATCCGTGGGGATCATAGATCCAGCTCTTTAATTTATCGAGAGATCCGTAGGCATCATATATCCGAGTCTAGTATTTTGGCTTGAGATCCAGTGGGATCACAGATCCTCATTTATTTTTGGTCAACACAGAAATCCCAAAGATCACTCGTTGCAACTCACAAACGTTCTTATTTAGTGATTTAATGTGATAACACGTCATAATCCATAGTTTTATGGCACTTATTGACATAGAAACACTTGGAAACCTGGATCCAAATGTTATGCATGGTGGGATCCACTCAGATCAAAGATCCATGTTCTTGGTTTATCGTCAGATCCTGTGAGATCATAGATCCAGGATACTTTTTTTCACGCCGGATTCTGTGGGATCATAGATCCGAACCTGCAATTTGCCTCGAGATCCACTGATATCATAGATCCATCACTCGGATCCATGCACATTTCTGCCTGGAATTGATCCGACATCAACTACAGGTTGGCTGGTGGGGTGACCTCCAGTCCAGAGAGGGAAGCATGAAGACTAGGGGCGATGCGGATTGTTTTTTCCTGAGGATAGCTAGGACGGAAGGAATCTAGCACCATTGACCCTTCCTTATACTGAATATATCTCAGGCTGTTAAATCTCCTAAGCGTTTTTTTTTTCTCGACATCGTCAAGGTGTCATTAATAAAAATATGAAATCCGGGAGGATAAATTAAATATAGAAATTGTGGCCAACAGAAAATTATCAGTTGCGTTCAACATACTCGTAAGCATGATCACACACCCAGCCTACATATGAGCCATGTAATAATCATTTTTGATAGACATGCTTAAGTTATGAAATCATCTGAAGTGTTTGTAAAGTTCCACGATACGGATCTAATATCCTGCTATGCATCATGACCATTTCTGGTCAGGTCATGTCTTTGAACATAGGCCAAATTTTTCAAATGACCTTTGAAGATTAACTTTGGATTCATTCGAAGCGTTTTGATAAGAGCAACACGAGGCTGGTAAAATTAATTTCGAGTAAGTTTTAAGCTAAAAACTTTTAAGTGTTTGTGGAAAAGCAATTGGTTTTCTCATAATACCGATGGTGACAGTTGCTGGTATTTACGTGCTAAGCCGCTCGCCTTAATTAAATCCGACAATATTATTCAGACATAGCGGTAAACGAGCTGATTGTTGTGTTAGGTTAGGCTCGGTCGATTTCAGAGTGGGAAGGATGACAGGAATTAGGGGGAGGCAGGGGGCCTGGGCGGTGTTTCACGGCCCCACGCTGCAGCACGCTGCGCTGCGCTGCTACATTGCTGCGGAGGTTGATATGAATTCGGCTCCACGCTAGCATTGCGAGCTTCCGAGTCTGTTGATGTTTCCATGGAAATTGGAAACCCAATGCACCGGTGCGCGCAGGGCCTCCTCTAAGGATTTTTCACTGGGTGGGCAGAATTTTCGCTACTCCCCTGCCCAAGGGCAAATCCAGCCACTGTTATGGGGTTCAACCAATTTCAAAACCTGTTACCGGGGGGGGGGGGGGGTTGAGGCGAAATAAGCAGTGCCGTTATTGGAAATAAGATGATAGTCTGCAAAGTTAACGTTTGTCGTATGTTTTATGGTTAGCGATGCTCGAGCGATTCGTTCCAGAGTTACATGTACACTGTACAGCCCTCCGCAAACTGCGTGGTAGGTATTCTTATTCGGTATTCTTGCTATTTTGACAATGTACCAGTTTTTGTGACCTTGTGACCTGGCCTCGGGTCACTGGAACATAAAACTCCAAGGCCAAGTGACAAACAGATGCTCCAAGTCGTGTCTTAAATTTGGTAGCGCTACGTGCTATAGAACTCACGCTATCAACGAAAAACTCTGGCATTCGGTTGCCGCTAAAGTAGTCCAATTTCCCCCTGACCTTGTACGGGGTTTGTGACCTGGTGACCTGACCTGAAAAGACTAGAGATCTGAAATTTTCAGGACAAGTGCCAAAAGGTTGCCCCAGAGGGTATGCCAAATTTGAGCGCCGCCGTGTTTACGTTATTTGTGAAAAAAACCTTAGGGGGATGCATCAACCCCCCTCACCGGGCGAGGGCTAACTAACATAATACATTGTAGTAAAGGCTACCCGAACCGGTAATGATTCTTGCTTATTTGTTTAGCTCAGCCGTATTTAGAGATTGCTGGCTTTGTCCATGGACCATGAATTACAATATCGGCATGGGCGTAGCCAAGGGGGAGGGGCCACGGGGGCAATGACCCCCTCCCTTGAGCGCAAAACGCGCCATGGGGGAGCCCCTCAGGCCCCGGGATATTTTTTTTTTTCAAACACTGGATAAAACGTCTTTTACTCGGAAGAAAATTGATATCGAAGTTTCATTTCTGTGGCCCTCTGATGACCCAATGGGCCCCTGCACTCATCCGATGACCCCCGGTTTCCTGGGGCCCCTGGTCGCCTAGAGGGCCCCGGTCGCTTGGGGGCTAGTCGCATGGGGCCCCTGGTCGCCTGGGGGCCTGGTCGCCTGGCCCCTGCCCCCTGGTCGCCTGGAAGAACGCTTGTCACCTGCAGTGGCATAGCCAAGGAGGGGGCCAAAGGGACCATGCCCCCCCTGGAAGCCAGGGGTCCTTATTCTATAGGGGCCCCTGGCTGACACAGTGGGCCCTTGGCGACGCAAAGGCCCCTGCGGCAGATCCTTTGACACAGCTGAGTACAGTGAGTAGTCATACTTTGGCCAAGAGAGCCCCAATTTTAGAGCCTTGGGGCCCTATTGAAACCAGGGGGTCAGTTGGATGGGATGGGTCCAACTTGGGTCCAACGGTGTGTTAACAGAATCAATGCGTTCCGACTGTTGGTCTGACCTTATATCGGTTTGAGGGAGCTCGGATCGGATCCACTGTCGATCTGAGGGGCCCCTATCGGTTTGAGGAAGCCCTCAAATGCCCTGAACGGGTCCTTAGTTTGTCTGAGAGAGCCCTCCGTCATCCTTACTGGGCCTCTGCAAATGCAAGGGGTGGCTTTTGTCGGTCTGAGTGGCCCTTAGACGGCTTATATGACCCTCAGACGGCTTACGAGGCTCTCATGCGCTGTAGGGGCCTGTGACGGTCTGAAGGACCCTCATCCGACCTACGGGCCCTCAGACCGCCCTCAAAACCGACTGGCGACTCTATGAAACTATTCGTGGGCCTATCTAACAGGGCCCATGGACTGCTTACCCCCTCAGTTCTAATATTTTTTGTTAATAAATATGCCCGGTTATATATAACAAGATATAACCGGTTTTTTCCGCGACACTACGAGCGTCTTCTCTGGGGCGGCCCCGGAGCCGGGCCGGCCTCGGCGAGCAGCGTTCGGCGGCAGGCGGGCGGCCGCCCGCGCCCCGGGCGGCAAGGCTGCTGAGGCGGCGGCCTCCTCTGATTGGTGGAGCGACTCGTGTCACGTGACGGTGGCGGCGCGGGGTTTGAGTGTATATGCGCGGTCACTCTGTTCTAGGCCGCCCGGTCTGACGCAAGTCAGCAGTGTTCTCGCTCTGAAATGTTTTTGCGTTTACTCCGGTCGTGTTCAGTGGAAACTGGAAGACATCAAGGGGAGTATAAGTTCGGTTTTATATCAATGTTATATTGATTGACGAGGATGTTTTTCCTTTCGGGTTTTTTATGTTTATTTTTACTGGTTTGTTGTTTGTTAGTTGTTTGTTTTTATTTTCGGCATGAGGTTTGGTTATTTTTGTGCTTATGTTATGCTATATCGAGGTAAGAAAGGGGTCGATGAGCAATGGGTCGGCGAATGCCTGGTATTATAGGTTTTTTGAAGGTTGGATAAAAGAATGAAACATGGACTGCTGGTAGAAATTCGCTTGGTGGTGTTTTTCAGATTTTGGGAGATTGGGTGTAGGTTCTTGCTATGTGTAACATAGCTGAAACTGTTTTTTTTTTCTTCTTCCCTGGAACGGAACGCCGGACTTTGCCATCCTACACTCAGTGTGAGTGAAATCAGCTCATGCTTCTCGGTGTAGCAGCTCAGAGTGCACGGCCTGGCCGGCGTGGGGTTTTTGGTGGCCACGTGGTGTTGGCCGGTGGTTGGAGTTGGCAGAATTGCCGTTTTGTGGTGCCTGGTGTTGGTTGAACTGTGGTTCCCATACAGGTGAACGGTTACTGGCGTAAGGTGTGCCAGGTGGGCGTACCCCGTGGAGGTACGCCCAGGTGGGCCAGGTGGGCCTGGCCGGCGTAGGGTTTGGTGGCCACGTGGTGTTGGCCGGTGGTTGTGCAGAGAGTTGGTAGAATTGCCGTTTGGTGGTGCCTGGTGTTGGTTGAACTGTGGTTCCCATACAGGTGAACGGTTACTGGCGTAAGGTGTGCCAGGTGGGCGTACCCCGTGGAGAATGAGCTGCTGGTGATGTTTGGCTCTGTCCGAGCGTGTCCGAGCGGGGTTTTCATTAGTGGGTTAGGGATTGTTGATAATAAGGGTACCAACTACCAGGTGAGACTTGAGAGGGTAAATGGAGTTCATGCTAATGATACCCAATGCAATGGTATTGGTCTAAAATGGTATTGTTACCTGGTTAGGTTGGAGTGAAAGGTTAAGTGGGTGATGTGGTGGTGTGCATCCCCAGTCTGTACCTGGGGTTTGCATCTCTACGACCGTGTGTGCCCTCGGGGCACGGTCCGGCGGCGGCGCCCGGCCGGACCGTGCGGGGCCGCGTCAGTCTCTACTGGGTCCGCGCCACGCTCGCTCGCTGTGAACAATACACCTGCACCGGTTCAGAGGCGTCTTCACATGGCGCAGCCTGCAGGATCGTGAACGTGCGATTACCAGTGCAAGTGTGACAGGGCGACGTGCATAATTATTGTGCATTTTCGACCCAGCAATGGGGGACTCTGACGCCGACAGCGTAGCGGATGCGTCTCGGGAGCCGGATGCGTCTCGGGAGCCGGCCGCTTCCGTCGCGGTTCGGGCTGCCGCGCCGCGGCAGCGGGCCGGCCGCGGTCGTGCGTCCCGCAGCGCGCCGGCCCCGTGGGCGGGCCGAGTACGAGCACCGGACAGCCTGGACCTCTCCACGGACCGGGGTGAGTCTTTCCTGGTGTGGAGAGAAAGCTGGGAGGACTACGTGCTCCTGACCGGCTTGATAGACGCTGAACCTGACATTCAGCTGGCTGCCCTGAAAAATGTCATGACCCCGGAGAGTCGCCGCGTCCTGAGGAACCTGGAGCTGACCGAGGTCCAGCGTGCCGATCCCGAGGTTGTACTGGACGCGCTGGAGCGTTTCGCAGTGGGCCAAGTAAACGAGGTTATCGAAAGGAAGAGGTTTAACGAAAGGTTTCAGGCCGAAGGGGAGGTCTTTGATGATTTTCTAACCTCCCTGCGTGAATTGTCTCGTGCTTGCAAATTCTGTGACGCGTGTAATGATTCGCTAATCAGGGATAGAATTGTGATGGGTCTGAGATCAGCGGAGACCGTCAAACGTCTCTGCGCCGTCCAAAACCTCTCGCTGTCGCATGCCATCGCTGTTTGCAGGGCTGACGAGGCGGCCGCCAGAGACGCCGTGGAGCTGCGGGCAGGCGGACTCGCCCGGGCCGCCGCCAACCGAGTGGACGCCGCCGAGCGCCACCGAGCGCCGCCGAGCGCTGGACCGAGGCGGCGCGACGGCGGCTGGTGCGCTGCGTGCGGCCGGCGACGTCACCGGATGGGAGACGCGTGTCCGGCCCGGGGTCAGCGCTGTCGCAGCTGCCGCCAGCTGGACCACTTCGCGGCAGTTTGCCCCGACGCATCCGGCGACTACGATGACCGCCGACCGACCACGTCGTACGAGCGCCGCCGGCTGGCCCCGTCTCGGCCGCGGAGCTCGCCACCTGGGCGGAGCTACAGGCCCGACCCGTACCGCTCGTCGTCGAGATCGCCGTCCCCGTCGCTGGACACGCGGCGATCGCAACGGCGCCAGCCGTGGCGCGGCAACCGGGTCCGCTTCCAGTCGTCGGAGGGCAGCAGTGACCGGAGCCCGGACGGTGCGGCGCGGCGACCGGCCGCGTCGGCCATCATCGCGGTCGCTTCGGTGCAGAGCGCCCCCCGCGTGCGCCTGGATGTCACGGCGCAGCGCCGCGCCTCGGTACTCGCGCTGCCTGACACCGGGGCTGACATCTGCGTCGGAGGACTCGACTTCCTGAAGGAGATGGACGAGTACCCGGAGAACCTGCTCCCCCCGGAGCAGCATCCTCGGACAGCCAACGGCGAGACGGTCAAGTCGCTGGGAGTCCTGCCGGTCTCGCTGAATCTCGGCCGCGTCTCGGTGCAAGAGTCGGTGCACATCCTGGAGGGCGTCAGCGGCCTGCTGCTCTCCTGGAAGGCCGTGAAGGGACTTCACATCATTCCAGCCGGTTATCCGCAGCAGATAACCGCCGATCTACCGGAACCCGCCTCTGGCTCTCGCACCAGGGACGCACCAGACCGCCCTCGGCCGGGGCCAGCGCGGCATCGGCACCGGTCTCGCGCCGCGCTGCCCGACGGTGGTACGTCATCGGACTGCGTGGCGGCGGTGTCGCGCGACGGCGCTGCTGGAGAGGCGACCGCGGCGACACCTGTCGAGCGGCCTGACAGCAGCCTTCCGACCGGTGCACCTGCATCTGAAGACGGGTCAGCAGAGCCGCCTGTGGACCAGGGAGGCTCCTTCCCGGACATCACGTCCGAGTTCCCCACCGTGTTCGACGGCCACATCAGAGTCATGCCGGGGGAGCAGTTCAAGATTCACCTCAGGGAGGAAGCCGTGCCGTTCCGCGTGTCGAGCCCACGACGAGTGCCCCTCTCACTCCGCACGCCGCTGAAGGACGAGTTGCAAAAGCTGGTGTCCGAGGGCATCATCGTGCCCGTCACGGAGCCGACTGAGTGGTGTGCACCGATCGTCGTTGAACCGAAGAAGGAGGGAGGAATCAGGCTGTGCGTGGACCTGTCTCGCCTGAACAAGTTCGTCCGCACCGAGCAGTACCAGGCACCCACCCCGCTGGAGGAAGTTGCCTCTATAGCGAGCTCGGAGGCGAAGTGGTTCACCGTCTTCGACGCGGCAAAGGGCTACCACCAGTGCCCTCTTCATCAGGACAGCGTGCTGAAGACGACGTTCATCACGCCGTTCGGCCGGTACGCGTTTTTACGCGCGCCGTACGGGGTCAGCTCGATATCTGACCACTACAATAGGCGCATGGACGAGGCGTTCTCCGGCCTCACCGGCTACAAGAAGATCGTGGATGACGTCGTGGTCTACAGTCGGACCAGGGAGGACCACATCCGTGACGTCCGTCGCTTCATGGAGCGCTGCGAGGAGAGAGGTATCTCCCTGAACCGGCGGAAGCTGCAGCTGGCCCAACAGAAGGTGAAATTCGCCGGCTTCATCATATCGGCGGACGGCTACGAGCCCGACCCTCAGCTGACGTCGGCCATCTCGTCGTTCCCGACACCGAAGAACATCTCTGAGCTCCGAAGTTTCTTTGGCCTCGCCAACCAGGTCGCCCCATTCGTCGACGAGCTCTCGGAGCTCCTCCTGCCTCTCAGGCCGCTGCTCAGCACCCGAAACGAGTTCGTCTGGGACGAGCAGCAAGAACAGGCGTTCATATCAGCCAAGAAGGCGCTGACATCAGTTCCGAACCTGGCCTACTTTGACCCCAGACGACCAACCTCGCTCTCGACCGACGCCAGCCGCCTCAAGGGATTCGGCTTCCTCCTACGGCAGCAGCAGGAGGACGGCAGCTGGCGGGTTATCCAGGCGGGATCGCGATTCCTGTCTTCAGCGGAGTCCCGATACGCCACCATCGAGTTGGAAGCCACTGCCGTGGTATGGGCCATGAAGAAATGTCACATCTTTCTCTCCGGACTGACGAGCTTCACGATATTCGTCGACCACAAGCCGCTCGTCCCCATCATCAACGGCAAGACTCTCGACGAGATCGAGAACCCGAGACTACAGAGACTGAAGTTGAAGATGGCATACTACGGACCATTCGTAGCCAGCTGGGTGCCAGGATCCCAGCACAAGGCGGCAGACGCTCTCTCCAGGAGCCCCACCCAACCAGCAGCTGCTGAGGACGAATGTGGGGAAGACGACGACGCACCTGCCCTCCAGAGCGTCTTGGTAGCTGAGCTTCGAGCGTGCGACACCGACATCATGCTGGACCGGGTGGAGTGTGCGACGTCAGAGGACCCCGAGCTCCAGATGCTCAGAGACATCATCTCCACCGGCTTTCCGGCATCCAGAGCGGAGCTTGCGGAACCCCTCCGGAAGTACTGGCCGGTGCACGACCGACTGTCGGTGGAGGGCGGCATCATCTTATGCGGCATGCGCATCCTGGTGCCGCTATCCCTCCGTAGATCGACCTTAGCGTCTCTCCATGCGAGTCACCTCGGGAAGGAGAAGACCAAGGAGCGAGCTCGGCGGGTGGTCTACTGGCCGGGAATGGACGCCGCCATCGACGACGTCACCAGAGGATGCAGTAGGTGTCAGCAAGAGCTGCCATCCCAGCCGAGGGAGACCATGCTGCATCATGAGCCTGCCGCCAGGCCGTTCCAGGTCCTGGACATGGACTTCGCAGACCACGCAGGAGGCAAGTACCTCGTCGTCGTTGACGGCTACTCTGGGTGGAAGTTCATCGAATGTACGGGCACCCGGTCTGACACCAAAAACGTTATCAAAGTAATGCTTAAGATTTTCAGTGAGGTCGGTGTGCCAGAACTTGTCAGAACCGACGGGGCCCTCTGCTTCACGTCTCTTCAGTTCAGCACGTTCTTGAGCAACTGGGGCGTTCTGCATCGCACATCATCCCCACACTACCCCCGATCTAACGGCCTGGCCGAGTCTGCTGTTAAATCTGCAAAAAAACTGCTCAGGCGATGCTGGGACGACGGCAGAGGACGGCTCAACGAAGAGGAGTGGACGCGGGGCCTGCTTCAGCAGCGGAACACGCCGGGCGTCAGCGGGAAGTCGCCCGCCGAGATCGTCTACGGCCGGCCACTGAGGGACGACCTGCCCACGCACCCGTCGCACTTCAAACCATCGGCGCGCTCGCAGCGGGCGAGTGGAGGCGGAGCCCAGCAGCGGAGTGGGACGCCACCGCACCAGACTGTGGACTGCGACGATCGCCGCGAGTCACGCCGCTGCGCCGCCAAACGGTGGTACGACCAGCATGCCCACGACCTGCCCGAGTTCCCCGTCGGGACTCGCGTCCGTGTGCAGGACGTCAGGACAAAACGATGGGACAGGTGCGGCGTGGTGACGTCGGTCGGCCCCCACCGACGCTACAGTGTACGCTTCGACGATGGAGGGGAGGTGGATCGGAACAGATGCCACCTGCGCAGGCGGCACGCTCTGTGCCCGGTGCCCGGAGTGGAGCCTCCCGGGAGAGCCGGCCCGCGTGTCGTCACACAACCGGACACTGGTCGGATGAGTCGTGACCATGCACCTGCGAGCGAATCGCGCGCCTCCACACGGCCGGATCGCGCGCCGCGCACTGAGCCGCCGACTGTCCGCCGATCCACCCGTGTGCGGAAGCCGGTGCGTCGGCTCATAGAGGAGATGTAAGGGTGTACTACGTTTCTTGTTATTTTCGCTATTGTGTTATGTTTCCGTTCTTTTCGTTATACCTCGAGCGCGCTGGGGGCTTAAGGGGGGAGATGTGGTGGTGTGCATCCCCAGTCTGTACCTGGGGTTTGCATCTCTACGACCGTGTGTGCCCTCGGGGCACGGTCCGGCGGCGGCGCCCGGCCGGACCGTGCGGGGCCGCGTCAGTCTCTACTGGGTCCGCGCCACGCTCGCTCGCTGTGAACAATACACCTGCACCGGTTCAGAGGCGTCTTCACAGGTGATATAGGTACGGAGGTGCAGAGGTGATAGTGGAAACCACTTGTGTGGTAAGTCTCGGGAGTCGGGACTAGGATATTTTAGATTAGATGGGAAATTATGTTAGGTAGTTTGGATGCACTGGCGATAATATAGTAAGTTACAGGATAGTAACCAAAGGAAGTTTTCACCCTCATATTTAAGGACTGCATTAGGTATGCAATTTTCTATAACGATGCAGTTTTATGGTAGCCCGTGATTGTTTTGCTCTCACTCTACATTGTGGTGCGAGTTAACTGTTTTCAGTTTTTTTATGGTAGTGGCGTTTGTGAATCGTTTTTTTTTTTTTGCCAGAGTAAGGTGCCTTTTTGTCGTGGTCAATAAATAGAGCATTGCCTAGGCATGCATAAGCGACATCAATCATCATGGTAATGTTGGTATGCAATATGCATATCCTGCCGATGTGTCATCGCGCGCATTGTCAGATAAATGGCTCCAGTATGTATAACCCCTCTTGATACCCCCGTTTGATACGAGCTTTCGGCTAAAAATGGTTATGTGACACAATCCGTTTTTTTTTCTTCCATGGCTTGGTGTGTGGTTGGCATCCGACTCTGAACGGCGACGGATCGGCACACTCGGCGGGGCCGGCCCGCTGGGCCAGAGTCTTCTCTGGCCGCTGGACGATTTCTTCACAGCTCCCGCGTCAGCTGAGGGAGTTCCGACCCCTCCCAGCTCATCTAGCTCCAGTGGTGCTGCCCGTGCTGCCTAGCAGGTCTTATGGGACATCGTCAGGTATAGGCCAACGCCAAGGTGGCCGGGGTTTTGAAAGGTACGTTGTTCCATGTATGCCGGGCGCGGTACATATCTGTTAATGGAGGTTCTAGGGGGACCCGATAGGGTAGATAGTGAACGCTTGGGCATGGGCGATATCGGCATTTTTGTGGGGATATTTGGTTCCATCAATAGGAACATAAGGGGCAATGCTGGTGGAAAGTAAGATAGTAATAAAATTCTGATAAAATCGTTAAGAGGCCTGAGGGTATTAAAAAAAAAATGAAATCTAGTCAACTCTAAGTTCAACGTGTTTTCAACCTTGGTTTGCTGCTGCTGCTGAGGCTTGTTAAATCGTCTATAACTATATTCAAAGCAGTCTGTTTCTTTGATTTTTTTTTTCTACCTATAGGATAAGGGATGACCTTTCTCCTGCAAACAGCAAATGAACAATACAGGTCAGGTGCTATCAATAATAGTTAAAAGGATTTAGTCAGTATACGTTGTTAGGACTGGGGTACCCCTCGGTGTCCTAAAATTGTATTTTGGCTGGGGTGTCGGAGGAAAATTCCTGGGGGCCCGGGAACGATTTTCAAGGGGGAGGCGAGCCTAAAATACCTGACTTGATGCATATGAAACAGTGGCGTAGCTAGAGGTCTAAGGGAACACGCACTCCCCCCCCCCCCAATCGGGTTCACAGGGACCCTCGGGTCCGGGGGCCCTGCGGCACCATTTGACCTGAGGCTTAACGATGGCCATATTTCGACTCGGGGGGCCCCATTAGGCTCGTTAGAGCACCTCATGGGCCCTAAATTGCCACACTAAGATCTCCTTAAAGCCCCACGCCGGCTTCTGAGTCATGGTCCCACAATTATTTTTCTGAGGGCCCAATAACGGCAACTGTGGGGGCCCTCATCGGCGCTTATGAGGACCCACACCGGTGTCTCTGAGGGTTTCACGCCTCCAACTCTGAGTGCCTACACCAGTGCCTATTAAAACCCTATATCGGCGGCTCTGAGAGTGAGGACTCGAATCCCTACCCAACACCTGCGCAGTGCGCATCTAGGGACCACCCACTAGTGACTTCTGAGGGCCCCACACCGGTGACAGGGGCCTCTTGCCGGTCATTGAGAACCCCCTGCCGGCTTGTAGAGGGTTCGCGTCAGCAGCTCAGGCCCCACACCAGTCTGTAACTGCTCCACACCGGCGTCTATGAGGGCCCACAGCAACGCCTGTAGGACCCTCACCGGCGCCTCTGAGAGAGTCACACTAGTGCCTCTGAGCGCCCGCACCGGCACCTGCATGATACTCCCACACCGGTGCCTCATACGGGCCCCTTACCGGCGGCTCTAAGGGCCCTACGCCGGTGATTCTGAGGATGCTACCGATAACCGGGGGCACCATACAGGCCCAAGGTGTCGCTGAGCTTTAATCCCATACCGGCCTTCCGTGGGTGCCACGTCAGTGCACTCGTTGCCCCACACCCCTCCCTCACACCCGGGGCGGGTAAACTGTGTTATACCTATTGCAACGATTTTACCACCGTTGTACGTTATGTATTTCTCAAGGTTGGCTCAAAATAGTCCAGTATATGTATGTAAAAGCTGGCCTGCCAAACTATGGCCGGGGTCAGGCCCAAACCAAAGTGGGATGACAATAGCAGATATCAAATCGATACTGTATCGGCAGAAACCCTTCAGATGGCAAGGAAAGGCCGTGTCCTGATAAGATATATAAAGGAAACAAGAAGGAAAGAAGTCCGGAAAAGGGAGGAAAGGTCCTTTCTCGCTGCCTCAATGTTGAGGGGGCGACGCCCCCACGGCTCTCAAAAGGGGGGGCAAGCACCCCCGCTGCCCCCCCTGTTCCCGGGTCTATGAAAATTTATCACCAAAAAGGGATAAGAGTGAAAAATTGATGGTCAAATAAGGCCTAACAAGAGTGAAAAAGGATGCGCGGCGAAATTTCATAAAAGGCTGGTATAATGTGGGAAGTAAAATGGCTATCCATCCATGCAAATGCTTTTTCTGGGAAAAATGGGAGTGGAAAATGGGCTATTAAAAATTGGAGGCGAGTGAACAGTGATTTTCATTTGGGTGACGTTTCCCACCTAAATCAAATTTTTGGGCACTGGTACCCCTCGCCAGTATCAGGGTTGACGTCACTCACTCAGTACTGACTGAGTGTTGAGCTGTCCGGATGGTCGCAGCTCGGTTGTGGCCGCCTTGGCCGTGTTTTTTGGTGATCTAGTGCAACCGTCGCAGAGCAAAGGGAGTGTGAAATTCAGTTTTTTGTGGGTTCTTTCGCTAAGAAGTATTTTTCAATTATTAATGAGTGTTCTGTATGCAATATTGCTTTTGCAAGGACGTTGATTGTTTTTTTATACTTTGATGGCTGATAAAGTTCGTATGCAATTTGTTAATAATGGAGGGGTTGGTGGGATGCCTAACTGGTCCGGGTGTATGGTTAGTAAGAGGTGGAAAATGGGCTAGTTGCGGAGTTATTTGAAGTGGTTTATGGCTGGGTATGGTTTATTTCCAGTTAAAATATTAATTTGTTTTGGGAGGGGTAGGTAATAAAAAAAAAAAAACTCATCGGTTACAACTCATCATTTACAAACTAGGGGTCTTATTGTTTTCATCTCTTAGATCGCTGGACTTAGCCGTTCCACACTCTGCATGGGTGAATTCAGCTCATTTTTTTTCACGGGATAGCGGCTCCAAGTGCAGAACCTGGCCGGGTTACGTGTTGGGTGGCACTGGCCACTGATGTGGGCCAGTGCGGTTCACCAATGAGGTGGTGATGGTGTTGTGAGCGGTGGTTGAATTTGGTGAGTTGTCCGGTTATGCCTGGCTATGGTTGAACCTTGGTTCCCATGCAGGTAAACGGCTACTGGCATAAGGTTTGCCATGGTGAGCGCACCCCGTGAATGGCGGGCTCAGCTATAGTGGCGTGGCGCTGTCGGAGCGATGAGTTTTATTAGTAGTTTATGGCGCTTCACTGATCAACGCCAATTGCGCTTAGGTTATTTTGGGTAAATGGGGGTTAGGTATAAAAAATGTAGGTATATGAAATAAAAAAAAAAACTAAAAGAATTATAAAGTAAAAATAAAAACAGACAAACAATATAAAAAACAATTTATTGATGGCGCTTCACTGGTCAACACCAAATGTTGCCCAGGATATTCAAGTAACTGGGGGGTTTACGTATCGCTCCGGTAGGTAGGTACTTGATCACTTTAGATGGAATTTGTTATACCTTTTTGCTTTTGCTTAGAACGCTGGATATTGGCATTCTACACTCCGTCTAAATGGATTCAGCTCATTCTTCCAAGGGGTAGCAGCTCCAAGCGCGCGACCTGGCCGGCTTAGGTGTTGAGTGGCCACTGAGGTGGGCCGGTGTTAACCGGTGGTGTTGGTGTTGAGGGTTGGGAGTTGAGTTTGTAGAGTTGTCGTTGGTTATGCCTGGCTATGGTTGACACGTGGTTCCCATACAGGACAACTGATACTGGCGTAAGGTTTGGCGTAGTGAGCGTACCCCTTGGGAGGTGAGCTGTTTTTGTGATGTATGGCCTTTTTCCAAGCGTTATATATTTTTTATTAATTTATTCGGAGGCGCGCTGTCAGGGGTCGCGCGCGGTTGCTGCTCGCGCTGTCGGCGTCACCGGGGGTCATTGAGTGGTTGGAATTTTAATTTTACCATACGATGTTCCGAGTAATTTCTAACATTTTTATGATAGCAACCTGGTTGTGTGTACTCAGGTTGTGTACTTTTGTCACTCAGGACCTGCCTATGATTGGTTGGTGGGTGAGTTACTGTACCTTCTATGGGTGACATTGAGGCAGCTCGGCGTTTGGAGGCAGTAAACACTTCCAAAACGTGTCGAGCTAGGAAGCTACGGCACTTTTTACCCATATTGGCCTGTTTACAGCGTAGGGGCTGTCTGTATGCCGGTCTTTTGGTCCCTGATCAATCCGGAGCTTAGCGGGAAGGCAAGCTTGTTGCCCGTGGCGGGGGGATGCGGATACTATCAGATTTCAACAGCGGGTATTTTGGTATTCAGGTCGGGTAATTGCCCTAAACATTTGGAGAATCTTGGGATGCCCAATTCTACAAGTCCCGGGTGAAGCTCGCTAGTCTGCCCGGGGGTATCCCCTTCTACAACGACCCCGAGGCAGCTCGCTAGTCTGCCCGGGGATATCCTCTCCTACAACGGCCTCGGTGCAGCTCGTTAGTCTGCCCGGGGGTGTCCCCTTCTACGAACCCGGGACAGCTCGCTAGTCTGCCCGGGGGTGTCCCCTTCACAACGGCCTCGGGGCAGCTCGCTAGTCTGCCCGGGGGTGTCCCCTTCTACAAAGGCATCGGGGCAGCTCGCTAGTCTGCCCGGGGGTGTCCCCTTCTACAAAGGCATCGGGGCAGCTCGCTAGTCTGCCCGGGGGTGTCCCCTTCCACAACGACCCCGGGGCAGCTCGCTAGTCTGCCCGGGGGGTGTCCCCTTCTACAACGACCCCGGGGCAGCTCGCTAGTCTGCCCGGGGGGGGGGTGTCCCCTTCGGGGGGTGTTCCCTTCGGGGGGTGTCCCCTTCGGGGGGTGTCCCCTTCTACAACGACCCCGGGGCAGCTCGCTAGTCTGCCCGGGGGTGTCCCCTTCTACAACGACCCCGGGGCAGCTCGCTAGTCTACCCGGGGGTGTCCCCTTCTACAACGGCCTCGGGACGGCTCGATAGTCTGCCCGCGGGCGTCCCCTCCCACAACAGCCTCGGGTGTAGCTCGCTAGTCGCAAGTCTGCCCGTGGTAGTCCCCTTCTTCAACGGCCTCTGGGCAGCTTTCTAGTTTGCCGGGGATGTGCTTTTCTACAACGGCCTCGGGGCGGCTTGCTCGTCTGCTCGTTGGTGGCTGCCGCCAGGACGCCGGTAGCGCAGGCGTCATTCCGGCGGCTTTGAATGTGGATGCCGGCGGGCGCTGAGAGCTCTCCCCTTTTGCTGGTCGGCTATCTATGACCTGATTACCTATAGTTTCGTGGTCACTGTTTTAACCTTTGCAAAGCTTTAGGTAACATTCATGGTCGTTATCATTGCCACGCATATCACAGGGATTAAGGTACACGTAACAGTAGATGTGGCCTCTGTTGTTAGTTGCCTAACAGCCATTGGGTTACCATGTTTTTTTGGGGGGACGGCGCTAAAATAATAACAATAATAATGACAATAATGACAATAATAATAACAATAATAATAACAATAATAACAATAATAACAATAATAATTAACATTAGCAATAATAAAAAAGCAGCTCGCTAGTCTGCCCGGGGAAGCCGTTTCTCACGGCCCCTGGTGCTGCTCGGGATGCTCCCTTCTTCCACCTTCTACAACGGCCGCGGGGCGGCTCGCTAGTCTACCCGTAGGTGGCTGCCGCTAGGACGCCCGGTATAGCGCGGGCGTCATTACGGCGGCTTGGAGCGCTGTTTCCTGGAGCGGGCTGAGAGCGCTCCCCTTTTTTTGCTGGGCGGCTGTCAACGACCTTCGTTGATACTGTTCTAACCCCTTCCAAAGTTTTGGGAAAATGCATGGTCGCGCTGATAGGTATGTGTATAGGGTTCAAGGTAAAGGAAAATACAGCTTTTGTTAACTGCCTCGGAACTCATGGATGGTTGTTTTTCGTCGGGTATATCGAGGGTCTTTAGTTGGTGGAGGCTATCATCGCAGTAGTGGCTAATGCTAATGGTTGTTACTTGTTAGTCTTGCTGTAAGGGCTTTGGTATAAATGTAATATTGTTCTTCATTGGTGACCGCTGTATCGTTCACATTCATGTTGGCAGGTTTTAGGGATCGTGGCGTTTCTGGTAAGCTCCGGGCCAGGTTGAGGAAATAATTACTTACCTTCAACCAACTACCAAGCACGTATTTGGGTGGGCTCTGCCACTGGTCTCGACACTGGCGGCGACTTAAAGTCTTTTGTTGTTTATTTGTATCCCCCATTCGGTCTGCTGGTCTCGGGAAAGGGGTGTTTTGTTATGGCGCATTGGTGTCTGGGTGGATGTATTGAATGGGTGGTGACACCATTGCGCCGCGCGGGGGGAGGGGTGGCGGCCCGTTGGCAGGGCAGTCTCGGTTGAGACATGTATACTTGCTAGTATGTCTGTGTCGTGTTCATTGGGCTGAATATACCAATAGCCCCTTTTTGTACAGCTACAGTGTTTTTCCTGGACGGACTTGGTTGTGAGGTTTGCACTGAGGTTGGTTACGCATAGCATAGCTAATTGTCTGTTTGCTGGCAGCTCGAAGGGGAAGCGGAAAATACGCCCGGTTATATATAACAAGATATAACCGGTTTTTCCGCGACACTACGAGCGTCTTCTCTGGGGCGGCCCCGGAGCCGGGCCGGCCTCGGCGAGCAGCGTTCGGCGGCAGGCGGGCGGCCGCCCGCGCCCCGGGCGGCAAGGCTGCTGAGGCGGCGGCCTCCTCTGATTGGTGGAGCGACTCGTGTCACGTGACGGTGGCGGCGCGGGGTTTGAGTGTATATGCGCGGTCACTCTGTTCTAGGCCGCCCGGTCTGACGCAAGTCAGCAGTGTTCTCGCTCTGAAATGTTTTTGCGTTTCCCACCCACCCACCACCATTTTAGGGTTTTCTTTTTTTTTACACGCACCACACTCTTAAATAAAGATGGGTTTTTCCACAAAATGTGGTTTTTTCCCCAGCTAGGTCCCCCGGTTTTTTTCTAGTTAGGACTTTTTCCGGGGGAGGACACACACGACAGGGTTTCTAGTTTTGGGTGGTGACACCATTGCGCCGCGCGGGGGGAGGGGTGGCGGCCCGTTGGCAGGGCAGTCTCGGTTGAGACATGTATACTTGCTAGTATGTCTGTGTCGTGTTCATTGGGCTGAATATACCAATAGCCCCTTTTTGTACAGCTACAGTGTTTTTCCTGGACGGACTTGGTTGTGAGGTTTGCACTGAGGTTGGTTACGCATAGCATAGCTAATTGTCTGTTTGCTGGCAGCTCGAAGGGGAAGCGGAAAATATTTTTCTATTTATTTGGGCCCCCTCCAAAAAATATTGGATCCAACCAGATGGCTTTTTGGATTTTGAGGGGGTTATTTTGGGCCCCTGTGCGTCTCCTTGAGGAAATTCTGACTACGCCCCTGAATATCGGGCAACCAGAAAACTTTTTTTTTGACCTTCAAACAGCATCCAGTTTGCTTAACCCTCGCATGTGTGCGGCGTTTGCCAGCTTCTAATGTGTAGGGGGGGGGGGGGGGTCGGTTGGACCCCCCCTTGCCGTTTGGCCCCTGATCGAGCTAGAGCTTCGCAGAAAAAACGAGCGTGTTGCCCGTGACGAGAGGAAGCCGATGATACCCAATTTTAAGGTCCTAGGTCATTGGTTGACCTTCCAGGTCAGGTCAATGACCCAAAGTCGGGAAAATCGGGACCTGTTAGAAAGTCGTAAAGTGTGGCTGCTAAGGGGTTTTTCGGGGTGCTGATCACGAATATCGTGTTAGTTTTGATCACAGATGATGTCTTGAAGCATTTAGACCAGGTCGGGTCAGGTCAGGTCAGGTCAACCAGTAGGCGTCGTGACGGGTATTCGTAGTACGTGTCAACCGCCTCTGACAGCTTTGTAACATGTTACGAAGTCACCAAAACTACTTCGTAAATGTTCAAATGGTTGCTAAATTCGAATTCAGCTCCAAAAACTAGCCTAGAAACATGTAAAACTCGAAAAAGTGACCCGAGGTCACCCGAGGTCACCAAAGGTCAATGACCTGACCTGACCTTCAGGTGACCTTGACACACACGGGAGTAACATCAAATCACATGTTTGAACGTTTGAAACCACGAAAAGCTTGAAAACACGCGGCTAGTGCGAGCCGACATACGCGAAATCGCGATTCCAGCCAAACATGGTTTCGGAAAAGAGGTCACAGGTCAAAGGTCATTTGGGTCAGGGTCATTAAATTTTCAGGGTAGGTGTAAAATTGATCAATGCGAGGGTACTGAAAGTTTCGTCGCGATCGGCCGCTTTTTACGCGAGTTATTCGCGAAAAACCATGGGGGGGGTCCATCAGACCCCCCCCCTACACATGCGAGGGTTAAGACCAGAAAGGTAGTACCGGACGTCCGGCCGGACCAGAATTTTTGCATTTGCTTCTGGGTGGGCAAATCGACGCCACTGGGTGGGCAATTGTGGTGACTGGGTGGGCATTTGCCCACCCAGTGGGTATGTTAGAGGAGGCCCTGGGTGCGCGCAACGCACCCTGTCCAAGCAAAATTTTACCACCGATGACGTCTGGTGACATGACCTCTGGTTCTGACCCGATCTTAAATTGGCTGAAGTATTTTTCTTCTTCTTTTTGCTACTTTTGACGCTACTTCGAATGCCACTTAAATGCCCAAAGCTGAGTTATAAGAATGATGCTCAATCCCCATTTCCCATCCAACAGGGCGTTAGAGTCTAGGCATTCCTGTGGGGCACGGGCTAACAATGACTATCTCTATAATCATGCTGCGCTGAGCGGTGGCCGTCCCGTTTGTTGGATTCTACAGCTGGCTGGCGGAAAGCGTTACCGGCCGCCCGTCCACCGCCCGCGGGCCGGACCGAGCGGTCCCGCTGACCCTACCTGACCTGAGCCCGGCGCGATATGGGACAGGCAGACGGGGGTTCGGCTCAGCGAAGGCAGCGCCCACTGGTGCTGGGGACTTTTTTAATAGACCTACTGTACGTACGCAGCCCACTCGTCAGATACGTCGGTCGTCCCTGGAGCCACATGTTCGATCACCAGCGGCAGCATTCGCCTAGGGTAATTGTTGGGCAGTGTAAGCCCCTGATTTGTACTAGTCTCAGTTCAAGCTACAAAACTGCTATTTCAGTTCAAAACTCCATGTTAGAAGTGGCATATTTGCTTTAAGTGTTAAGGAACTAGTAAGTGACGTGCTTTATGGCACATCTTTCCCAGAAACTCAAAGCAGAACCCCAAGACTGCAATTCTTTACTGGTCCAGTGCCTGATTTACAGCTGCGACCGCTTTGTAGTACAGTATAACGCGCTCATGCTGAGGAAAGTATCTCGAGAGGCAAGTGTTGCAGGGTGTTCAGTTGGAGCGCTGTGGTGCGGCGCTTGTCCGCCTCGGCCAGCAGCGCAGCAGCAGATGGCCGTGGCACTTCGATGCCAACGGCGGCACACTCTAGGATGGTGGCTGACGGCCCCCAGTCAATGGCATTGGTAGCTTCACGCTCTGGTGACGTAAGCAGAGCGTGAAGGTTTTTTTATTTTCCCTTCACTAGTGCTTTACCTATGGGAGATACCGATTTCGAAGGCAAAACTAAAAGTCGATTTATTAACTTATTAGTCGAGATACGTATAAACCGAGTGTACCATACGACAGCCTGATCTTTCTTCTATCGATACCCGCATCCACTTTGGCGATGGTACATACATAAAACGCTGAAATTTGGCGATAGGCGGGAAGGTGCAATCCTAAACGGTATCATTCAATTACATCTTGATGGTTGCTTTTTCGAATGCTCGGAACATACCGAGTAGTGATGAACCTGACCTTTGATTCAAGCCGGATCTTGCAATACCAGCAGCTTTGCCAGGTCAGGTCAGGTCACTGACCTTTGACGTCATAAGTGAACCTCTGCACGGTCCTCAGATACCGCAAGTTCGCAACGCCCTCAGTGTCAGAGCAGATTTCACAAGATGAAACTTGCAGGACCTAGTATCCTCCAGAAGTCTCACAACGTGTATATCTCGCTTTTTTATTCAAGGTCACATGAGGTCAGGCCGGTCATATGAAGTCACCATTATAAGCCAATGGGGGAAACTTATAAACAGCTATTTTGGAGCCCAGAACGATCTCAGACTACCTGTAACACACGCAACCGTGATTATTTCATGCACTCTTTACAAGGTTCGATGCTTCATTTTTGCACCAAGAGCTTGCATGACGTCATTGATGACGTCACTAGTGTCATAAGTTTTTCGACAATAACTTCTGATCAAATTGAGCTAGCGAGTCGGGAAAGCCACCAATAGACTCGGGAACACCTGCCAAATCAAATGATATGTGACATGACCTCCTTCGACCAAGTTTGAGCCCTTGGGATCTCTGACCTCACCGTGACCCGAGGTCAACACCCAAAGTTGGCCTCACCCAAATAAAAAAGAATACCATTCGACGCGCCTGAGCAGGGCGAATACGATGCTGTCAAAATCGCGTCCCTTCAATCATTTTTTTGTGAAGTTATTCGCCAAAACCGAACCCGTACCTTGGGCCACTTAACCTGACCTCAGAGGTCACCGGTTGACCTGAGACCTTAAAATCAGGTACAAAACGCTGCATCTCGTAACGACACACACGCTCGTCTTTTCTGCGACGTTCTAGCTCCATTAGGGGCGAAACGGCGAGATGGGGTCGTACCCCCCCCCCCCCCCCCCCGCCCCCCCCCCCACCCCGGCCCCCGGCCGGCGCGTATGTAGAAAACCAATAAGTCCGGCGGGGGTTAAGCGGGTTCCACTGTGCACAAACAGCTAAGGGTTGTGCATTTAGTATGGTCATGAGAGAATCCTGTTTGATTTGGGCTCATAATACAATGCATGATCACTTCTTGTTCATATCATAAGTTTAATTGATTTTCTTCTTCCCAAAAACAAACAATAAATGCTCTTCTCAATATTCCCCTTCACTCAACAACTTTTGATCACTTTTCCCTAAAGGCCTAAGGTAATGCATTGGTAAAAACACAAATGGATGGCTCATCTCAATAGTCAATAGGTACTTCTGTCTCCTAATGCTCCTAATGCCTTTGATCATGGTGGCAATGCAATGTGATGATGACAGCATTCCATTTATCACCACTGAAACACAACTTAGCTCAAAAACACTCATATACATAAATTTATTTATCTCCATTTGTGCAAAATTACTTAACTTATCACATTCTTTTACTATTGCTTCAGAAAGACATATCAGACCATAAGATTGTGTGAAACAAGAAAAGATTATCAGGCAATAGAGTTGATATATGTGTAGATGAAGTCCAGATTGTAGACTTGAGTTTGGTAGGTTGTAGGAGTTAGGTTGTAGGTTTTAGGCTGGTGGGTTCGTAGGTAGTATATTGGTAGGTTGAAAGCTTTGAGTTAGAAGGTAGGGTTAGGTCAGGTTAGATGTTCAAAATCTTCACTGGACTTCATCTTCACATTTACCACAGAGTTGACACTTGACAAGCTGTGCCAGCCAATCTAGCAACTAAGTATTCCGCACTAGCAGTAGCACGCACATACCCAGTAAACATGACGACGTCGGCCCGACGTCGGGCCGAGGCTCGGCCCGACGTCGGCCCAACGTCGGTTCAACCTCGGCCCGACATCGGCTGGACGTCGGATATGCCCGCATGTTCCGACGTCCAGCCGAAGTCCAGCCGACGTCGAGCCGACGTCGGGCCGAGATCGTTTGCCGAGGTTGACGAGATCGTTTGTCGTTGGACCGACGGGGCCGACGTAGGCATGTTTATTGGGACAACGCGCCAAAAATATCAAACGGCGGCGGGATTCGAGCCGCCCAGTCGCCGACGTCGGCATGTTTACTGGGACAACACGCCAAAAGCATCAGCCGGCGATGGGATTCGAACCCCGTGTCATTTGAACGCGAGGTTAGTGCGCTAACCACTACACCACGCAGCCGGATAACGAAATTGGTTTGTTTTGTTGGGTTATGCCCTTTCGGTCTGACAAGACCATTTCAGAGCCGGAAGGATCATAGGATGGAGACATTGGTCTTCTTGGCGAGCACCCTGGGTCCAGTTCATATGAGTCCCTGTCCCATTGCTGGTACGTGACACTTATTGGAAAGGGCGATCCCACAATGGATTCATATAGCCACTCTTACACACCTGCACCAACGTTTCCCA